ATTTTACCGTTACTTTGTGTTATTTTTTAGTTGCTCTCCTACTATTTACTGTTAAAATGTGCGATATCAACCTACGTCAACTATTACATAATTGTATTAGATGACTCTTTCAGAACTTTTATACATTTTTAATTTTATTATATACCGTTATTATGTGAAATACATACATACATGACTATTTACTTGCGCACGGTCGTATAAATTTATGTGTGTTTTTATTTATGTATAAATGTATTTGTGTTTATAAAAATATATATTTGAGGGATTATTGAGTGCCAATATACTATGTGAAAAATTCTTTTAGAAAATTTTATTTTAATTTTTTTTTATCCTTTCTGTTTTTTGCTTTTTATATCCTTTCGTGAAGTCCTTTCTTTGTTAAAATTTCTAGTTTTTTCATTCATTTTTTTTATTTCTTTAAAATTGTTATATTCATTTTTTTTGTACTTTCAATATAGAAAATGGAAAAGTTTTATATTCATATATGTAAGGGTGAATACAAGTAAATATTTTTACCTGACAAAAACCTATCGGAAAAATTTTCCAAGTTTTAGTTTAGACATAGACCATAACGGAATTATGTACATAGTTCTGCTTTAAGGAAAAAAAAAGTAAAAAAAAAAGGGGAATAACTTGAAATAAAAAGAAAATCCGACAGGTTGTATCAGTATGTTTACGGCAGGTGATCTGAACAAATATTAGAAATAACGGAATTTTATCAATACCGTTATATTTCTAGTAATATTAAAAATTAAAATTTAAATTATATACGGGAATGCAAATTGAATTATTGAAATGCCAATCAATAAAAAAAAAATTAGCATAAAATGTGATTTATTAAATTAATGAGAAAAAAATATTAGATTTAAAAAATAAATAAATTTCAAATATAGTGAAGAAAATTAAAATTAAAAATGAATAAAGATTAAAATTTAAAATAAAAAATCAAAATAAAATTAATCTAAATGGCCAAATAAAAGTGAGTATCTTAAAATATTAAAAAAAGAAATATTTGAAAAATATTCAGCGCTTCTATAAAATTCAAAATTTAATATGAACGAAAACAAATATGCGAAAATAGGGAAAGTTTCAAACTGAAACCAAATGTTTCTTGGATTCAAAGTTTGAATGATTCACACCATTAAGCAATAGAACTACAAACCAATTTGAAAGATCAACTTTTATTTGAAATACCTATGACTTATTTAGAACCACGTTTTTTTTTTCAAATAATTTTTTTGTAGGAAACATTGCTCATATTTTAATATGAATAATTACACAATTCAGGCATTTTCGAATGTAAAAATTACAAAATGAGATTTTGTACTTTTTCTCATAAATAATATCTGAGAAAAATAATCCTTATAATAATTAACTCCTTATAATAATTGCAATGTTTTTAAATTTTCAAATTTTTTAAATTGAAACAAAGATGCGTAAGGTTAGATTTACATTCACATCATTTCGGCTTAGGTTATATCGACAACATTGCACATAAAGCATTGGTCATTGAAACAATTTGTCGTTTATCTATATTATAAAAACCAAAAAAAAACTATTTTTCAGGAGATGGGGGTCTGTCGGTTTATCGGTTTACCTATCTAAAATTTCTGGATTCCAATTCCGATATAGTTTAACAACAATCTACTTATCCTTATTATTTATAATAAGCTTTCGAAAATAATTTAACCCTTCCGTTCAAGTTCCTTACTAATACAAGTGCATTTAAAGTTTTGATAAAACCTAAATATAATTGCAGTAATAAACAAAACATTTTGTTGTATGGTGCTCACGTCACACTTTGTTTTTCAAATAATTTGTCGTTCTCGTTAAATTTGAAATAGTTTAATTTTTGAGATCAGCTCAAAAGTAAATGGGGTTGTGACCTTATGTATATAAACAACTTTGAAAGTTTAGGTAGTTAAACAATATTATGATTACAATATTTTACTTTTCTAGCAATAATATAAATAAAATGTTTAATGACAACACGATCCTGTGATATTAATAGAAATGTATGACTGTGAAGGAATTGCTGAAAAAACTATCATAAAAATTCATACCGTCTCAACTTTTTAAAATAATTCAAACAGTTCGTACCATCTAAATAATTATAACGATATGATTAAATTAAATTTTGTGATATAAAAATTGCGGAATATAAAACTGCACAATTTCGATGAAGTTTTCGATCCTATTGCCAAATTGGTTTGCACCAAGTTACAGCAGTGCAGATTGTACCTTTTTTATGGCTGCTAAACAAACAATTTTTCGATTAATCTGAAATAAATATACTTCAAACATTTATGCATAGTTGATAAAATTATAACGTACAAATTGATAATGTATTACAAATCAGTGCTAAAGTCAGTTATCCATTTTGGTTTAGAGTATGCAAGTTTCCAAGCATTATTTCAAACATTTACTTCATTTATAGCTTATATAAGTACAGTAATATTCAGTTAGCAAAGTACAAGAAAAATTTCATATAGCTAGTCCCAGCCCTAAAAGAATTTAATTTAAAACCTAAAATTTCAAAAAAAAAACTTTATGAACGTAAAAATGATTTTTGAACTCACATTTTTTAAACTTTAAAGTTAAATTCATTGGTTCCTCCGCTTCGAAACGAGTTGATGTGCTCTTTATAAAAAATTTGAATAACATTCGCTTTATTTTTATCAATTAATTAATAATTAAATCAAGAAATGTAATTTTTATGTCTTTCAAAAAGATAACTTTAATAAAATATTAATCTGAAAATCTCTCAGTTTATTTCACACGAACCTAACAACCTTCAAAACTTAGTCGACATGATTTTCCGCTTAACACTAACTAAATAATGAATTCAACTTAACATAAATAGTTTCAACTTAGCATGAATAATTTCAACTTAACATAAGTCTTCTATAATGAAGTATATTTTTCAAAAATTAATAATTATGTTACATTTGCAGTAACAAAAACAAATAAAAAATTGTTAGCATATGACCGAATGCAACGTGTTTTGTACATTTTAAGGAAGCTCTTGGAGAAGATTACAAACACTTATTTTAAATATTTCTTACAAATTGTAGGACGCTAGCTACATTTTAATTATCATACCTAGAAAAATCAGTAGAGGTTAACTTTATGCTATCCGAATTCCATAAAAGTTCAGCAATTAGTTCCGATAGCAAACGGAGCTAAAATATTAAATTTAATGAAGTTCCGTCAATTATTTCTTAAATATGATAAAAAATGTAAAATTCACCCCTAACTATGTCTCCGAGCTCCGATACTGTCAAAAAATTTATAAGATTATTGTTTTATTTTAAAAAATGTGAATTTTAGCCGTAGCAAAAGCCCAACTACTAACACAAAATTTCTTCCAAAAGTTACATGGTTTCCCGTACTGCCAGAGAAAACTTATTTAAAAAATTTGAAGTGAACCTATTGGAACATTTTCTTTAAAATCATTAAAAATATAAACTCGGCCCGTAAAAAACTTCAGTTCTCGTAGGTTCACATATCCCAGAAGTTAATCAATCGTAATTCAGTAACATATCTAAAGTATACAATACGTAGGTTATGTGAAGGCAACAAATTTCGCATCTCGAGTTTTCGAGGGAATACACTTTTCCATAGTAGGGAAATGTAAATAAACTATTTTTAGCAACCTGCCGGTCTGTCGGTCCGTCGGTCTGTTGGTCGGTGTGTGCACGCGTGTATCTCAAGTTCGGCTGAACCGATTTTGATGAAATCTTATATATAAGTTTATTTCCACCATGGCACGGTTTGATCAACTTTTGGGATATATCAGGCCTCGGGAACTGAACTTTTAAGCGGGCCTGTTTTACATTTTTGACAATTTTGAAGAAAATATTCAACCGATTTGCTTGAAATTTCATATATAAGCCGTCCGCGAAAGCTCCTAACTTCTGGAAGAAAATGTATATTTGACCCGTCATCAGCAACCGTCTCTTTGCTGATGACGGGTCAAATATACATTTTTGCGTATATAAAGAGAAATAATCAACCGATTTCATTGAAATTTAATATTTAAATTCCTCGTATTAAAGCAATGAACATACAAATTTTTTGGAAAGATCAGGGCTCGAAAACTGATCTGCGGGCCGATTTTACATTTTTAACCATATCCACGAAACGAATTGATGGAATTTCTTGAAATTTGATATTTGTGTTCTGGTTGTTACAAAAACTAATTAGCGAGCATTTCAGGGAATTCGGGTAGCACAAAGCGAAACTCTACTAAGAGCAAAATTTACATTTTTGTACGTATGTTAACTATAAGCTTACTAATGTCCTAAGAATTGGAAAGGAGTATTTAACAGACATTTTTATAATATTCTGTAACAATTTGACTTAACTAGACAATACACATTGCGGTCGGTTATTTGCTGACCGCATCAGATTTTTTAGGTATGTTAGCTAACTCCTTTAAAACTGAAAGGAATTGTTCAAAATGCATTTTCACAATCTTCTGTAACACTTTCACTAAGCTAAGCAATATATATACGTTGCGGTCGGTTATGTGCTTACCATATCAAATTTTTTATTTTTGCAGGCACTGTGAGTTATTATCATTCTATTATAATTTTTTTAATTATTCTATTATATATCAGCTTTGAAAAACAAAGGAATTTTAAACAAAACTGTAGTACAAAAAGTTATTTTAGACAAAAAAATAAATAAAATAAAGTCCCGTATTATGAAATATAATCACTGCACCTATAATCGGAATAAAGACAATAATATATATTAAATATATTTTGGAAATTAAACTTGCGATTCGATAATTTAGATTAGATTATTAGATCTAAATTTTTAAATACCTGCGTAAATTATAATTCTTAATTTCAATTCTCTTATTTTTCATTCAAGTATCATGATCTGATTCTATTATAAAAAAATTTAAAGTTCCAAAAACATTTTTCTTCTTTTTATTGCAAAATTTTACAGATTCGTTTGGACATCTTTAATATATAAAAGAAGTTATTCAAATGGAAGGAATCATGGAATATAATCGCTTACCTGCAATAACAACATTCACACAATTCAATCGTCCAATTTCAATTTTATCGCCATTAGACTTATCATTGAGGCAAACATCAATTCCAATAACACCACCATCAACTCCTTCGCCACCACGTAAACGGTTACGAAATCCTAATGAGGACATTAACAATTTATGGCGTCCACATTCTTTCGGTTATTTTGACAATTCACTTTTAATTCCCTGGAATAAAACCATATCAACAACAATATCAACAGCATCGTTGACAGCAACAGTTAATAACAATTCTACACAACCTGTAAATTCAATAGTTACAACATTACCACTAAATCAGCAAAAGAAATTTTTAGAAAAAAGTGAAAATGAAAATAAAACGATTATCGTTGAAGACAGTGAAAGTAGTTCCCCCTCAAAAATAACATCGGTAATTCCAAAAACAACAACAACAATAATGCCGAAAGAAATTCCAAATGATTTAACTTCGAATGCAAAGATAGTGATTGAAGATCCAGATGAATCAATTATTTTGACTGAAGATGAGGGTGATTGCGATAAACATCATAATGTTCAAGAGATTCTTGAACATATTATTGATGATGATGAAGATGATAATGTTGATGATGATGATGACGATGAAGAGGAATTCGTAGATATTATAGGAAATGATGATGATGTAATTTCAACAAATTATATTTCCCCAAATATTTCCGCAAATAAATTATTTGATGTAGACCAATATAAAAATGAAAATGAACAAAACCACAACTATGATAGAGCATTGACTGGCAATAAAGTTGTTTATGAAGATGTCGAATTACATAATAAAGCTATTGAAGGATTTGCAAAACTTTTCGAGAAAACTTTCATGCCATCACCAATGAATAACAACAACGAAAATGATGTTGATAAAAACATAAATAATCCCCAAGAAATAAAAAGTAATATTCCTTTCTATCAATCACCCCAAGAATTAAATTCCAATGATAATAAAATGTTCAGACAAATAATTAAAAGTAAATTTGAAAAGAGGCGTTTAAAAATGAGAAAGCAACATATTGATGAGGATAATAGCAGTCCGGTATCTGGAACTATTATAAGAAAATTGAGAGAAGACGAAGAACTTGTTGTACGTAAAGGTGACATTGATCCTGCTTTTAATGTTGTAGAAATAACAGATGAAGCTAAGGCTATACTGGCTAGTATTGATAACAAAATTGGTTCATATATTTGTCAATTATGTCGAACTTTATACGATGACGCATTCCAGCTAGCTCAACATCGATGTTCAAGAATAGTTCATATAGAATACCGATGTTCAGAATGTGATAAGGTATGCTTACATTAATTTTTATGATTTTTGTTTTTGTCATTTTCGAGTTTCAAAATAGTAAAAATAATACTAATATTAGCTATTACTGGTGATGTATTAAACAGCCATTGATTAAAATGTTCTAAAAAGCTACAGTTAATCTAATTGCTTAAATTTTTACTTGTTTACGCTGTTAAAATTGTGTTAATTTTATTGTCAAAGTTTTAAATTTCAAGAAAATTTTTATTTCTACTTTCAGGTGTTTAATTGTCCTGCAAATTTGGCTTCACATCGTCGTTGGCATAAACCAAAATCGGAGGTCTTAGCTTCTCAAAATAAAAAGCAATCATCAAATTCTGAAAAGCAAACAAAAATATTATCAGTAACAGATTTGACTAATGAAAAGACAGAACCTGATGAATCAAGTAGTGGGGATGGGGTATTTGCTTGTACTGAGTGTGGAAAAAGCTTCAGACGGTAAGACATTTAAAATTCCCTATTTTTTTTTGTCAAAAACTTATATTCAAAATTTCTTCTCTTTTCAGTCAAGCTTATCTAAAAAAACACTTAACTTCACATAAAATGCTGGAAGATCTTAAATCTTTAGAAAGATTTCGATTACAATCTGTTACAACTCAAATCAATAATTTTCCATTTTATCAGCAGAACACAAATCTACATAATCATCCGCCAGCCACTGGAACTGGAAATGTTTTAAATACTTCAAATCACAACCGTTTCTACATAAATAATCCTGCAGCTTCTACATTACGTTTTCCTCCATTATTTCAAAACTTTGATCAAAGATGTTTACAACCATTTAATGATTTTTACCTACAACAACATTTAGACAGATCAGCTTTTCAATATGTTCAACAACATGGTTTCAGAAGTCACCAATCAAATAATTTATTACCTTTAACGCATCCGGCTCAAATGACTACAGTTAAATGACAAAAAATTATACGACCTGTCCCTAGAATTGCCTTTAACTCAAATACATCTGCATGTACAACAACAACAACAACACAAGCTATTCCTCCAATAGTGAATATTGCTTCAGCAATTAGTGATGCTTCTTCGACTCCTATAAACGTAACAGAAAATTGGTAAAGTATAGATAAAATTATATCAATATAATATTGTCTTTTAAAAATGAGATGCGTGCCATGAGTTATCAAAATTTTTTAATTTATAGAAAAATTATGTTATATATTTAAAATTATTTAATTAAATTGCATGTATTATTAATCACATTTGTTTGTTAAATAAAGATAATAATAAATTATGAAAAAAACAAGTAAAAACGTTTCAGTCGGTATGAACCGATTGAATTATACCCTGCACCTTTCATTGTTGTATAGCAATTACTCAAACCTGTGAAACCATTTTATAGAAACTTCGCGGATATGTCTGATCTATAACTGAACACACAACTACCAAGTTTCGTGAATTTGACTTTATTATTTTTCCAAATATTTAAAATTAGCTTTTGGAGTTGTATGGCAGGTACCTGAACCTGCCAAGCAATTTCACTAAAACTTCGCTAATATATCTGATCTATAATTGGACAGACAACTGCCAAGTTTCATGGATCTAACTTTTTTACTTTTCCAAATATTTAAAATAAGCTTTTGGACTTGTATGGGAGCCACTCGAACCTGTCAAGCAATTCCACAAAAACTTCAGAAATATCTTTGACCTATAATTGGACACACAACTGCCAAGTTTAATGAACCTGTCTTTATTATTTTTCCAAATATTTAAAATTAGCTTTTGGAGTTGTATGGCAGCTACCCGAACCTGTCAAGCAATTCCACTAAAACTTCGCAAATATATCTGATCTATAATTGGACAAACAACTGCCAAGTTTCATGAATTTGACTTTATTATTTTTCCAAATATTTAAAATTAGCTTTTGGAGTTGTATGGCAGGTACCCGAACCTGTCAAGCAATTCCACTAAAACTTCGCAGGTATATCTGATCTATAATTGGACACACAACTGCCAAGTTTCATGAATCTAACTTTATTATTTTTCCAAATACTTAAAATAAGCTTTTGGAGTTGTATGGGAGCCACTCGAACCTGTCAAGCAATTCCACCAAAACTTCAGAAATATCTTTGCCCTATAATTGGACACACGACTGCCAAGTTTCATGAATCTGACTTTATTATTTTGCCGAATATAAAAAATTTGCTTTTGGAGTTGTATGGCAGCCACCCGAACCGGTGCAGCTATCTCATTAAAATTTTTAGAGCATATGTAGAATATGATTGGACACATGTATACAAAATTTTATATTTGTACCTTTATTAGTTTTTGAAATAATTAAAATAAACTCTTTGAGTTGTATGGCAGCTACCCGAACCCGTTGTCCGAATTGGTCCAATAACAATAGGGTTCGTCCTTGGCACAAAAGAAGCAACTTGTGAAAGTTTGGTGTCGATTGCATTATTCGTTTTTGAGTTATCGTGCGATCGGACGGACGGACGGACGGACGGACGGACGGACGGACGGACGGACGGACGGACGGACGGACGGACGGACATGTCTAAATCAACGCAGAATTTTACGCTGAGCAAGAATATATATATATGTCCATACCGCAGATGACTCCTTCAAGTAGTTACAAACTCCATACCAAAGTTAATATACCCTTCACGAAGTGCAGGGTATAATAAGAATACATCTTTTTCGTACAAAACATTTTGAATTTGTTCTGTCGCATACTTTGTGTTCGATGTCATTGCGAATGCTAAAGGCTTCCCTTCCCAAGCTTAATATTTAAATAAACATTTAAAAAATTTCATATATAAAAAATTTATTTTCCTATTATAAATTATTTGTTTTAAGGACTTTTTGCTCAAAACCAAAACAAAGGAAATTTTTAAAGAAACTTGAGAATACTCAAATTGACGTTTATTTATTTAAATATACATAATATTCATAACTTCAATAAATTATAAAATTATTTCCATATTAATTATTGTTACAACACCCATGGTTGAAAAAAAGAAAACGGGATAATAGGAAATTTGATGCAGATGACAAAAAGGTAATACTTGCAGTCTTTGTTGATTTGAGGAAGGATTTGAAACAGTTGACCGGAATATATTAATTAAAAAATTGATAATGTATTTGCCATAACGACAAAATAAAAATGTTTATAGAAATATGGAACGAAGAAAAAAATCTAAATACTCCAATTTACCAACAGCGCCAATACAGCCACTGTTGAAAACATACATAGCTATTTAAATCCTGAAATGTTTGCTTTTTAATCGATCAATGGGTATGAGTTAAGGTACTTGAGTTTCAACTTCTCCCTAACTTCAAAACAAAATCTGGGACCAATCTGCGAACTGTTGACACATGCCGAAAATGTTGGCTATGGTTTTATACTGTGCCGAAGAAATGAGAGCACATAATGCTCTCGCAACCCGTTTATCAATGGAATCGTTTTTCTAAGATGCGATTCTTCTTTTTTTAAACCTGTATTTTTTGAGCTCAGTTTTTCATAAGATTTATATTCAAGTCTTAAATTTTCTTTGAAGAAGACTTCGCCGTTGCTAAATAAATCACGTCCAACGAAAGATCTAAACCTGTCCTAAAATAAAAGAAAACCAAGGCTCTGAATTATTTTTATAAATGCACATACGCGTACCATAAAAGCCTATTAGTACTTTTCATTCTAATCGAGCCCATCATGTATAAAACAATTTTTCATTTTAAAAATTTCACACTGAAACGTAAAAATTTTAAATTTTTTAATTAAGAAACGATCAACGCCTGCTTAATTGAAAAATTTATAATAATTTAAATTTAAGAAAAAATTAAATCTGGAACTAAAATAATTTCTTTTTATTTGAACTCAAAACCGAAGTTTTTCTATAGTTAAACTGGGGTTACAGTTTCAAGTTTCAGACTAAAAATTAAAATATTGAACTAAATATTTTTTACTGTGTAATCATATTTTAATTTTCACAATTCCAACATATACTCATAACCAGCATCTTAATAATTACTTAAAGAACCATATTTACAAATATTTCAAGAAACCAATAATATGTCATAAAATTACGTTTATCACTTATACATTACTCAACAACGAATTCGAGAACTATATTTTCGAGATCAACAATATATTCGAGATTGCGTATATCCTTATAACATTTTGATATAGAGAAAATCTTTATAGCAGCGCTCTCTTTATAGACTGTAAAAAATTCGCATAAAATAAATTTCGAATATTTTTTTTTGCATTCTTAAGTATATCTTTCAAAACGACTCTAAAATTGCGTCCTATAGTTAAAAAAGAAATCTGGTTCAGTACCTTGTAATTATACCACATAGATTTTAAAAAGGAGGAGGAAGATGGAATCAATTATCTGTAAAACAAGTCAATGATTACTCCATGTGGCATGGTTCCGCAGTTATAAACATTTATTTATACGCAGGAAAAATGTGATACCTTATTTTTCATTTTATGAGAGACTCCTTGTTTAATATACATATAAGTCGTGTGTTTGTGTAATAATAAGAATGACAATAATACATGTAATTTATATTATATAACAAGAAGCATTCAGAAAGAAGCTTTTGCAACTTCTACATTAGGGAATACTTTCTTTATTTTCCCACATAATTCTAGCCACTTTCAATTAGATACTTGAGTTACTAAAAATTTGCTCTTGATTAAAATTTAAAATTTTCTTCTCTTTTATTTCTTAATAAAAAACTATGACGAATTTCAATTTGCCCAGCTAACTAAATATTCCTTACATAATGTATTTAAATATTCCTTACAAAATGTATTTTTAGAACATCTAATGCCCAACTTTTTTTATTTTTTCATTTCCGTTGGTCATACGCCATAAAACAAACATTAAAAATATTTCTCCTGCACATATACATACAATATATACATAATCACAAGTACTCGCACTTTTGCAAACAAAACGATTGACGAGGACAATTTAACTTTTAACCTGTATATGACATCCAGCTTAACTTTTAAAATCATAAAAAAATTAAAACAATATCATTAAGGATCCAAGGACGTAGTCAATGTTAAAACAAGTTACATACCATTCCAATAACAATATTAGTTGTCAAATTCTTTCCTATTTTACAAATTCAAATTGACCGGAAATCAAAAATTTATGATTGTCTAAAAAAAAAACTATGCAAAAAATAAAAATTAATTGGAATTTAAAACAAAAATGTTTTTCGTTTTAATACGCGATTAAAGATTTCTAAACGAAGTCTAGAATTTCCTTAACGTTTATGATAATGTATGGAAATTTTGTATTAAAATTTACGGTACGCAAAAGATCGCCTTATAAATTAAGTGTGGTTTTTCAAAATTTACTGTTAAAAATATTTTAACAGTATTTAATATTTTTATCTTTAGTTTTAATTAGCTAGCTGTAAAAATATTAAGATACTTGAAGATTTATTCTAACAATATTAGGATAAATCTGGGTTCATCCTATAGCTCTAGTTTTTTTTCGATTTACGAAATACACATTTGGTATGTATAGTTGAAGAAACATTCAGTTACACAAATTTAGCACCTTTTCAAGTAATTTTACAAAATTATGTTTGTATTTTCATTTGAAATGGCAATTTGATTACCTTTGAATCTTACAATTTTGTTTTATAATATAAATTTAAAACAATGCATAAAAAAGTTCATAATGTCAATAATTCATTAAAACTAAAAATTTTATAGTTACAAGGTACAAAGAAATAATCTATGACACTTGTTGAAACTTTTATGCTAAAGGTAGATACTCGGTTTTGTGAAAATTTTGCTTTGAAATAACTACAAATAGAATTATTACTGCTGACAGGATATTGATTTCAAAAACTTTTTATATTATAACATTATCTATACACATTGATATTTAAATTTTATATTTTTTTTCACCTTTTTACCGAACGCATAA